AGAGGAAAAAAGCAAATGATGCTCACAGTTTCTCCTTGGAGATTCTCAAAAGAGATGAGAAACTTKGTAGTATTTCAGTACAGATCTAAAGGCTGAACCACGGTGCTTCTGTGGATAGAGCTCTTTAGAGAACGTGTGGGGACAGGGAAGATGTTCACACCCCAGCTTAGCCACTCTGTAGTGGCACTGTTATAGTCCACACTACACATGGCCTGTGACAAAGCGCCCTCTCCAGAACATCCTTGAGTCTCAGACACATACTGAGTACAGCTTTCAAGGCTGGGGAAAYACTGCAGGCAAAAGACCACAGCGAYTGAGTCAGCAGAGCTTTAAGGACCTTGCTGCCCAACCTCGTGCCTCATCAGTCACCGTGCCTGCAAGGGGTTTACTGAAGAAACACCCCCAAGGCCCTGYGGTGGCCCAGGCAGCTGCAGGCCACCTGTTGTGGCCTTGGAGACCATCAGTGCTCCACGGGCTGGAGCCTGCTCACTCAGGGTGCGGAGGTATGCAAGGCATGCAGCTCCTTTTGTTGCAAGCCTTGCTATGTGTGATGGCTGGAGCAGGCAAGGCGAAGCACAAGTAACTGTTGAGAAGGAGCATCTGGTTATAGCATGTGCTGCCTGTCACCAGCCTCAGGCTGAAGCCGGGCTGAAATGGAGGAAAAAGTGGCTCCCAATGTATTAAGAGTCTTTGACCATACTTTTTTATTGTTCTCTGCCTGYGAGAACCGCCATTGACATCATCACTGGTTGTGTAAATCTGGTTCTATAAACACTTTTGTCAGGTCCTGTGTGCGAGACCTCTGGAAYGTAGAACATCTTTCTCAGTCTCCTACAGTCCCTGGCTCATTCGTCACCTGCAGGCARCTTAAAAAAGCTCTGCAGCTTGATGCTGCCTCTGCAAAACTAGATTATCACCTTTTCTCCTTCCCTCCTCAACACTGYGTGTGCGCTCTCTCTATATATATTTTTGGAAGGTTTATAAAGAAGAAATAGTATATACTGGCTTGGAAAGAGAAATTAAATTGTGCTCTGCTAACGAATGTGACTGCCGATAGATATCGGAACCATGAGACCCTTCTTACTGTTTAATTCCCAAGCTGTGATCTCTTGCCRGAGAGGTCATCAGTCTCCTTTCATTCCTTTGGCAGGATGAGTCGTCATAAAGCCATGATATTGGTTACAGACCTAATCKTCCTTGTGGCAAATGGTGTAAGTTAACTGATTTGTCAGAGTTGCTCTGTGGTCGAACTGGGCTGATGGGTGCTAATTAGTTATAATTGATGTTTAAGCTACTTATAACCTTTTTGGTATTTATAGGAATAAAACCTTTTAATGGTGTATGAAGGAACTCTTTGTTGAAGGAGTGAATCCTCATCCTAATTGGGAGGAGGCAACTATGCTCTTGAGAATTTAACATATCTGTTATATGACTAGACTCCCCAGTGGCAGATAAATTAAAAAGACACTAGTGCTGTGTGACATGGAAAGTTCTAAGATGGTTGGATCCAAATAATTTTCCTGTCCTTATTGCAAATGGCTTAAATATATGGTAGGCAGTTGGGTGGTTGGCTTCTAGTTGGGTTGCTTTCTGCTCATTGCAGGAATRAAGCTGCTGAAATGCTGCCTGACAAGTAGCAGCTGAAGGTGGTAAGAGAAGTGGCCAGGCAGCTTCTCGTGGGAGCGACACTTCCTCCTTGTGTGTGGGCTAGAATTGCCTTAAAAGGAACTTTCTTGTTCTTGTCTTGCTGATAATTGCACAGTTCAGTAGATTTGAGTGGGGGGCTAATACTGTTTAGAGCAAGCTTTCAGCTAGCACTTGCTTGCAATGATCTTGTGAATTCCATGCCTGTGCCCCTCGCTTGTCCRTGCAACAGCAAAGGCACGAAAGACAACACAATCCAAGGCCTATAAATATCTGCTGTGTTCGTGTCTTTACAAGACCTTAACGGAGCCCTTGCTGAMACTTGTATACATGACAAGTAACTCTTGGAAAAGAGCCCATCTAAAGCCCTAGCAACTTGCACAGTGTTTGATGTGCTCCTCACCAGCGAAGGAACTGGTGGGGCTGAGAAACCCTGGTGAATGTGAGCTCTGCTTAGCACTGAATTACTCCCTGTGGGCCAAACTGAAGTATGTTCATTGCATGTAGAATAACAGCTCCTGCCTGGAGGAGCTGGGAAGCAGCAGGTGACTGCCTTGGCTGCACTAGCYTTGAACTTCTCAGTTTGACAAGTTCCCAGATGAAGTCTTGTTTTCTCTCCCCCTTGCCCTGACAAGGAAGAGGAGGGAAAGGCTCATAAGCAAAAGGAAGGAAAGGGAAAGACCAAAAAAAACCCCAGATGCTGTATTATGAGATCTCAACAGAAAGAAACTTGGATGTTACAGTCAAGCTACTTTGCTAGAATAATTCAATGCTATTCTCTGGGTGTTTCCAAACATGCCCCGTCACAATTTGATGGACTCGCAGACTTCAGAGCCAGGAAGAATGTAAACACAGTGTACTGTGTCCCTTGACTTGTCAAAGCCTAAACTCAATTCCTCTTCCCGCAGCTGCCCCTAAGAGAAACACTGGAATAAACAGGAGCGGAGGAGAAAGCTATAAATAGTGCAAGAGGGGTAGCGTGTTCCTAGATGCATTCTGGAGCTTGTCCCTAGTTCCCCTGCAGAAACACCGTCACCCAACGTGTAAGGTCAAACCACCCATAAATCTGTTCCCCCACCAAAGGCTGTTACATGAATAAATCGTTAAGGAGTAATAAGAGTAAACTAAAGGAGCACTTTTCCAGACATAAATCTGAACTTCATTGTTATAATGTAGTTTACATCAGAACTGGAGATGGTGGAAAAACTGATTCTTAGCTCTTGTTTGATTAAAAATCCATCTGAACTCCAGCATGTTGGCTAAAATCCAGCTCACAGGAGCAGCTGGCTCTTGCTGAGCTATACCTTGCCTCCTGAATATTGATTTGGGGAGTTTATTCAGTGTAATTACTATCCTTTCCCTCAAATGACTATATGGCACTGTTGCCCCACACTGCCTGCAATGCCCTACTGTGAGATGAGAATGAAGTTCCCATGTTTTGCAGTYTCTATGTGTGTTTTATCTTGTCCATAGTGGGACAGAAATGGAGAACACCAAGGAAGTGGCTGCTGCTTGGGAAAAGGAAGCTTTTTTGCCCCTCTGACCTTGTCTGAAGGGCATGGCAGGATCAGGAGAGAGAGCAACAGTAGCATAGGAGTTGTGAATAACCTCTTCCCCCTGCAAATAAAGAGGTTCTGCTGCATAACTGCATGGGGAACTTCTCTTGGAAACAGCCATTCCCATCAGGCAGAGATGTAACTGTCTTTTGAAGCATGGTGCTGTGAACTGATAAGGAGGGCTCCTGCAGGCAGAAGGGCTGTGCAACTGGCCTGAAGTACTAGTGGACTTAGCAAGCTGTATCCTTGCAATAGATGCTGGAAGCAATGAAGGTGGCTGGGGTTATCCCAAGCCATAACTGACCAAAAAGGAGGGGTGAGGGATCTGCTTGTTGGTAGCACTGCATGTACTCTGTTTAGAAGAACTTGGGATGCTTGAATTTTCTTTAGGAAAGAGTTTAATGGGCAAGAGTCAAATGTGGTGTATGAACTTAACACTGAGGGCTGAAGTTGGACGGGACCTCTGCAGATGATCCAATCCTACCCTCTGCTCAAGCAGGGTCACCCTGAGGATGTTTCCTAGGATTGTGTCCAGGCAGCTTTTGAATATCCCCAAGGAAAGAGACTCCACAGCTTCTCTGGGCAACCACTCCAGTGCTCTCTCACCCTCATAGTAAAGAGGTTTTGCTCTCATATTCTCCAAATATTGAATCATCTCTTGCAAACATAACCTCACAGGTGTTTATCATGCTTCCTCTCTGCAAGAGGATGCTTTGCTTCCTCTGCTCTATTGCTGAATCATAATGCAATATTAAGTAACTATTTTTGTTGCTAAAATGCCCATTAGTTTTCTCCTCCTTACAGACAGAACAGTTGAATTCTGACAGAGCAAAGCACCTTTGCAGCAAGTGTTGAAAGCAGACCCCACGCCGCCGTGCTGTGGTACTGTTCTGTGCACTTGACGTCTCTTGGTGGAGCTCTTTGTGCTCCTGGCACCTGTGTGTGAACGCTGCTGAAATACTGCACAGTGGCTCTCATGGAGAGCCAGGAGTCTCCCCACGAGGCACAGAGCAGATGGGACCTCTGGCAAGTGTTCTAGTGCCAATACGTCTTAGTTGTGGTGTGAATGCTGCTTTAAGCGACAAAAATATCACTTCTGTTTAATGAGATTGCTGAGGTTCTTGGCACGTTGCTCATGGTCACAGTCAAGCCCATGAAAAACTAAGTTTTTAATAACTTTTTTTAATAACAGTTTTTTTAAGAACAGTTTTGCTTTACAAGCTAGTGTGCTAAAGCCAGTGCTGCAAGTCTTTGTGCTTTGAGAGCTAGTCCATGAATTTCTGAACTACCTGAACACCTTGTCTGTGTATACTGAGAGACCAACAGGCCTCATCTTCTGCTGTCTCCACTGAGAGAGCCTGTGGTCTTCTGCTCTTCAAGACAGTTCTCATACTGATACTTGGCATAACTAATACTTGGCATAAGCAACACACTGTAGGAGCAGCCACCAGAAAGTCAAACTTTGCATGCACACAGAAGGGGTGTTAGGGGCTCTTTCAAGATGTTCTTGCCCTTCTCCCTCAATCTGGAGTTTGGTGGATACACATAGAAATGAGCTTTTTTTGAATTTCTTTTTCTATCTTTTGGAATTCAGCCTTATTTCATTTTGCTCTGTAAAGAAATAGACAGATCTGGCCTTTCTTTTTTAATAATGTTTTAGGACCAGGGTACAAAAAAGGTTAATGCATTAATTCTTAAGACAAGTGATAAATGTACTGCAATAAGCACATCCTACATACACAGAATATATTTCTCTATATAATATGAACACAGAGATATAAAATAAGTTATACTTGTCTTGGTTTTTCATCACAGTAGGAGCTCAGCTTATATAAAGTGACAACAGGAACTGGAACAACATGCTGCTCTAAAGCAACAACCAAAAACCAGAAGACTCTGTGTGTGTGTGAGCATGTGCGCATGGGGAAACAAAACAGCAAATTGAGGGATTTCTACCCGAATCAAGTCCTAAGAAAACAGAAATTTCATAGAGCATGACAGAGAGTGGAATGCCTCTGGGCTCCGGGTGGAGGCTCTGGAGGGGATTAAGTGTTGCTGTGTGGGGAGGAGGGGGTGGATGAAGGTTGTTGACACCCAGGCTGTGGCTGGAGGGTGGCAGGCAGCGTGGCAAGCTCTGCCTGCTGCCCCTCTGTGTTCTCGGCTCGYGTGACGGACACTCTACCTGACAATGTGGAGCTCTTATCTCTACAGCAAGAACGGGACCTAGTGGCTTTCACTGCACACGATGAGAGTAAACGGATCACTTCACGGGAATGATGAACACCACTGTTGCTCAAAGGCTTCTGAGGGAGAAAACACTATCCACTTGTGAAATGGTTAGTGAGCCTGGGGCTGGTGAGTCCTGGGTGATCCCCCGCCTTGCAGCCCACCTGATCGCTGCCCCCAGCACCTCTCCTCCTGCTGCTTCCTTTGGGGCAGTTGTTCTCTTGGCYGTGCTTGAGAGCAAATCTCCCCCTAGGAAGTGATGGGAGGCAGAAGTGCTTGGCAACTCTTAAGGTCTGTCCCTTTGCAGATAACGAGGAATTCCCGCTGTCCTACTCAGGCCAAGCCATTTTGGATTGCTTCTGTTTTTAAGGACATGGAACCACTTGTAAAACTAAGCTTTAAAAATTGTGAGAATCTGCATTTACCTTTCTAACTTAGGGGTTTGTATATAGGCTCATCATGAATTAGGAGATGCTTTGTTGTTTGGATAACAGCTTGGTGACCTTTCTGTGTTGTGGGGTTTTTTTCCTTTTTCCTTTCCTTTTTCTTCCCCCTTCACTAGCAAGGATCTCAGAAGCCTCTTGGGGTTTGAGACCAATTAAAATGGCGCAAGGTGCAGCCAAAGCTCAGGAGTGATACTGGCAGTCAGCATTTTTCTATTAGTGCTCTCAAAAGATGCAGCCCACGTGAGTCTTTCTTCTACGCCCACTTGTCAGCTTCTATAACATTCTCTGTATTTATAGATTAAACGTTAGAAAGCAGGGAAATTACACAGGAAGAGTTAATTGCATATTATCATGAAGGATTGGACTTTTCTTTGTTTTGCCTTTTCTTCATACAGTAAAATAGGTATAAATCCAAAGGTGATCTCACATCTAAAGGTATAATTTAAGTAAACATGTTTCTCTAGATCTTTCTCCCCACCCCTTCTCCCCTGCGACCTTTCTTTCACTCTGTTATTTTCCTCTTGGATGGAGGGAGGAGATGGGAAGGGAGCTCATTTGGCAGCTCGTGCCCCTCCAACTTGACTTTAATGAGATGATTCGCCAAGGCAAACTCCTCATCATCCAGCATGCCATCTTTGTCGATGTCAGCCAGTTTCCATATCTTGCCCAGCACGGTGTTGGGGAGCTTAGACCTTACCATCTCCTTCTTTGCATTGGCACCAGTTATTTTACCATCGACGGGCGAGAGCGTGTAGAAAATCTCATCGTACATGGGCTTGTCCCGGGCCACGACCCACTCGGCGTCGTCGATGCCTTCGCCGGCGCCCTCGCCGTAGCCGTGGCCGAAGGGGCCGTGCAGGGTGCCCTCAAAGGCTCCTCCTTTCACCATCTGCGTGGGCCGCTGGGACTCCTCCTGGCGCACGAGCACCATGAGCTGGGCGATGTCGTTGGCCAGCATGTCTTCCACTGTCTCCAGCAGTTTGCTCTTCAGGGGCTGGAACTTGCTAAAATCCTGCGCCTGCAGCTGATCCTTAAAGTGGGACAAGAGAGCAAGGGGTGAGCAAAGTGGCAGCGCACAGTGCATGAACAAGGTAGCAGGAACAAGCTACAGCAAGGACAGAGGTTTACTCAAGGTCCCAATAATGTCTCTAAGCAAACAGAAGAACCTTCTTTTCAAGTCCTATTAAAAAGGATTCTTCTCAAGGACCAAATTGCTCAAGGGCAAAGGGTTAGTGCATTTCTAGGTGGTCACTGTAGCTTCTCCTATGTTCTCCAGCCATTGCTCTGCATTTCTTACTCCTCAGTACTCTGGGGAAGGAAACACCATGCTGGCAAAAGACTATTTCAGCAGTAAAACCCCAGTCATCACACAGCATATCCTTCAGATGCAGCAGACAGGTAACCTTACAGCATGGCACTTTCTCCAATTTTTAGTTAAGGACAAAGTGTTTTGAGCAGGGCCTGCACATGAATTATTTTGAGAACTGCAGATGTCCTGCAGCTTTGTCCTTCATCCTCTACCTATTAAATCTAACCTACTCACTTCTATTACAGTGTTATATTTATATGTATATACATTTATTTATTTTTGACCCTTATTCACTAGTTATTAAAACATGTTTATGCTTTTCCATTGGGTACACTCTGTAGATCTCATTCTCAAGAACTTGAGGAAAATGCATTTTTTTTTTCTTTTAAATGAGATGATGCTGTATTTTCCATAAGGACCTAGGAACAACGTTAAGAGCTCAGTAACTTGGAGCAGGTGTCTGCTTGGACCGAAGCCACACAGCCATGTACCCATGTCCAGCATTGTTCACATACACAATACAAGGCCCTGTTCCAAGGTGCTTTGGAAGTCTGTGACTTTTATGAACAGTGGGTTAGTCTCAGCTTTGCAGGACACAACCTGCTTCTCTCCTTGAAGTAGATGGGGTGGGGGTTAGTGTTCACAGTCTCCCTTTTCTGAGTCTTTTTAGAAACAAATGGTGAAGTAAAGGATGAAAAGATGTGTTTTAGGAGGCATATATGTAGGTTTTTGCAAGAAATGAATCATTTTTAATATAGATTAGCAGTATTCTTAGGCTTGAGAAATGTCGGACTGGAATGTGGAATCAATCTGCTGTTAAGAGGTCTAGATTAAGATTTGAGAAATGAGGGTGGCTGGAGCTTTGCATGGGCAAAAAATGCTTCTGCCCAAATACACGTAGTTCGGAGCTCATTTCAGAACTGGCTATTTTGATATTACAACAGATCGTGCACATGGGCAACAATAAYCAAGGTCTGTGTGGCCTCTGCCACATGCCCTACAGTACTTGAATGGTATTTATTTGGATGCTTGATACTCTGGGTGGGATGCTGATGCTTACCTGCATCTTCCTCAGATTAGGGAAGTCTCCTGGTGAGATCTGATGCTCCCGTTCAATCCGGGCGTAAATCTCTCCCAAGTTGTTAACAAGCTCCTTCTTTTTGTTGTCTTTCCCAAATACTGAGGGCATTTCCTTCTTTAGGGAACTGATGATGTAGGCATGGACCTGAAGGGTATTAAATGACACAGAAGACAAAAAGATATAAGCAGAATGTCAGGGTGCTCTTCCCAGTAGACGGCACCTGTGCCTGGGAGTCACTGCACCTGGCCTTGCTCTGAAGGGCAGGCTCGGCTCCTCAGCCTGCTTGCTGTCACTGCAGTGCCAGGAGCTGCTCAGCTGCACTCCCTAGCTGTGCTGAGGCACGGCGAGGGTGGCCTGGGAGCCCTGGGCACGCAGAGGGCAGTGCTCGTGGCTACAGCCTGGGGAATTCCTACCCTTGCACACCAGGCACTGCTTGACGGGGAAGTCCCGGGCCAGCCTTGCCACAAGGGTTCAACACACAGGCGCTTCTCTGGAGCTCTCTAGAGCTTGTTTAATGTTTTACTGTGAATGAGTCCTTAAGTCACACAATGCTCTTGAGGACTCTACATCAACTGCCATGGGGCTGTGCCCTGTATTTTTGAACAGCTACGTTCAGCTCAACTTAAACATTCATGGAGATGGAATTTCTGGCAATGCCCTTAGGAGCTCTTTTCTCATGCTCGTTGCAGGCTTATGCAGTGCTCACCTTGGCCAACCGTGCTCTCTTGATGAGATCATTGAGCTTCCTCAGCGCTGCGTTGCGGGGTAGGCTCTGAATATCCCTGAACAGGTCCTGCTCCTCCGCCTCGAACAGCTTGCGGTTGTCGGGGATGAGCAGCGGGTGGGACCAGAAGGAGCCGATGTAGACCCTGATGACCTCGGGAGTGTTGACAATCTTTCCCAGGGACCACATGAGGGCACCGTATACCCGCATGAGCTGCTGAGTCTCTATCTGGTCTGCTTTGTTGAGGACAACTCTCATCTTGTCCTCGTGGTTCTTCAGGGCCTTGATGACCTCAGAAAATTCATCTGAGATGTCCAGCTTGTGCGCATCAAAAAGGAGAATGATGCGATCGACCCGCTCTGCAAACCACTCCAGCACAGCTGCGAAGTCGTAACCTGTGAGGGGTGGAGGAAGAGCAGGGATGTGCACACGTGGGAGTGGAGAAGGCTCTTGCCGAACCTGACCCATCCAAGGGGGAGCCAGCACCTTGGTGAGCTGGATAAAGCAAACAGGAAACACTACTCCTGGCCCTGCTTTCGGGGGGCCAAAGTGCTGAAAATCTGTAGTTAACAATGATTCTTATTCTCTGTCTCAAAAGGTCATCCCTAGATGTTTTGAAATCATTTATGCTTCACACAAATACGTGCCACAGAGAAACTGCTGTGTTCAGACAGCTACTGCTGTGGCCTTGTGTGTGGCAACAAGACTGGCAAGTCAAGCTTCTTAATAGTGTCCATCAGCACAGCCTAAAAGGCTGTGGAGAGCTGGGTAACTACAGCATCTGTATCCAGAGTGCTTTGAGACACCTATCTCTACTGCTTAGATCTGCCAGGACTTGTCTAGCTGTGTGAGACTAACTGGATTCCATCCCACTCAAAACGAGGATGCAAATCACCTGCGTGGCCTGAGTGATCCTGCTGCCTGTGCACAGAGCACAGCGACCAGCACTTCCCTTGTGGCAGTGCCACCGCCTCCAGTTTCCAGAGGTGGACTCCAGCTAAAAAGTCTGGGTTCAAATTTTGCATCCCTCGCAATTAAGACTAATGCTTCCCACTGACAWAGGACAATCTCTAGGGTACAAGGCATAATAAATGGTGTGCATTTCAAAGCAACAGTGACAAAAAATGACTTTCCCAGCTCTGTGATATTTCTCCATCTTCTTTAAAACCCTACTGAGACACTTGTGTTCCCCTGATGTCCTCTCTTGTGCTGTGCAGCATTTGGGTTATCCCCAGAGTGCAGTATTCTGTTAGGAAAAGTGTTCTGGTAAGACGGGCCCTTCGTGGTAACACAGCTCCTATCCTGATGGGTAGCAGAAATCAGATATGTGCTATTTGGATTCAAAGATTTAAAGCGTTTAATGTGTGTGTGTGTTGTTGTTGTTCTTTTAAATTTATTTATGAAAGATATGAAYTAGTTTAGTGGTGTGGGTTTTTTGGGTGTGCGTGTGTGGTGTATTTTTTATTTTTAACATAGTTTGAGGGTAAGCAATGCATCCCAGTCTACAGATCACAGCTGAAGAAGGGAGGGCTGCTGAGTCATTTATTAATTTTTCTCCTCTGCTCCATTAGTCTTTTCTCCCCTATGACTTCAACCAAATCTGAGTATAATCCTGGCTTTGAAGTCAGGAGCAATTCCAGTGTGAACCTTTCTTTTCACCTGGATAAACTGGTATTAACTGTCTGCTGTTGAGAATTCTGGTACAAATGCACAACATTGTAACTGGCTACAGTATTTCACTTAGGTCACTTAGTTCGCTCCTTTGAGAACAGAGAAGAGTGACAGTACTAGACAATAAAGCCATTAGCAGCAGGCTTTGTTTGTGTGAGAAGGCACTCTTGGGATCTGGACAGCTTGTCCTGTTCTTTTTCCATGGTATCTCGAGGAATAGGTGGGTGTGATGGATGTTTCTGCCACCAGGAGCCTCCCGCTGACTCAAAACAGCAGTGCCTCCTGTGGCAGCAGCAAGTGATGCGTCCTGGCTCTCTGCTCACCTCTCAATCAAGGGGCAAAAACTCTGCTGAAGACGGTGCATGTCCTCACCTACCATTCAGTTCTGCTCGGGCTGCCCTGCAGGTTATCTAGCCCCGAGGGGCAGCTGCTCCTCCTGCACTGAGCCACACAGCCTCTTTCTTGCCATGGAAGCAATGCATCAGGGTGACTGTTTGGAGATGTTTGTGTGTTGAATCCTGTCGAGTTTCACTGACTGGGATGCCTTCTCATCAAGCTGGCATGTGCCTGACTGGCACTGCAGTTGCTTCTCCCAGCCGTTTCCCCCTCGATTCCCTGCAAGGCTGGGAACTAGTTATACTCTCTAGGGCACCTACTAGTGCTACAGGGATGGCCTGCCCTACATCATAGGGGTAGTTCTCCTCTTGCAATAGGAGTAATGGGCTCCCTGTTGTGGTGTTATGGGCTGCATCTGACCCTCTCTACAACTTCCAGCAGTTCAGGAAAAGCAGGGACTCATTTGGAGAGAGGAAAAAACAGTTTTGTTGTTAGGTGTGGAGGTTGAGGTCAGCTCTTTGGTCTGTCTGGGTCTCAAGGTTTGTCCAAAACGATCCAGGGTCTTTGACTTCAGCGGTCKAGGTCTAGATCCGCAGTAGCCCTTAAGAGGCTATCTGGCCTCTGAGCCTCTCTGCTATACATGGACAAAAATGCTGCCCTGCCCAACAGGAAAAGGGAATTAATATCTGCTCAGTCCTATGTGTGTTCCCATGGAAACATGCACTGAGTCACGGCTGTCCCTGCGGACTTCACTAGATGGCTGGATTCATTAGCAGCCTGTCTGTCCGGGCTGCTTTGCTTGTGCAGAGATACTCTCCTGATGGCTGTCCCACACAGCTCCATTAAAAGAGGGAACAAAGCCCCAGGGACTGACGCTTGCTCATGTTTGAGAGCAGTCCCACCACCACGGGATGAAGGACCAGCTTGCAGCCCTTGGTGGGACAAAGGCCCGATCCACGTGCTCTCCTTCTATGTCTCACTGGCCTGGTACTTAAGGGAGTGTGTGAGACCCCTCACACTGGTGCCCAGCTAAGCAAGAAGCACCTATTTTGGCAAGCACCTCTAGCAAGTGTTGCTCATAATCTGCATTATCCTGATGGAGGCAGCAGYCAGGAAAACCTCTGTGTGTGTGTGTATTTTGTTTTTAACTGATAGAATACTTGAGAAAGGTGGAAAAAAAGGAAAACAATGCTGTTACACTTTTAGTGAGGGCTTACTATAAGGTGTGGAAAAGACAGGGCAGCTGGAACAGGCCTGTGTTTGCTAGGTGTCACTCGCAGGTCCCTGGGAGGCTGCTTTTCCAAAGAGCCACTGCCTAGAGAATTACTGCATGGGAGACCAATGGGACCAACTCTCCAGTTCTGCTTTTAGCACCCAGAACAGTAGACTGTTACTCAGCTACTCGGGTATGGATGCTGGGCTGATGTACAGGGTGGGAAACTCCACGGGCAAGCTGTTAATGAAGACATTTAAAAAGAAGATCTTACTTCCCTATTTTAACATTTTGTGAGCTCTGGGTTTTGGAGGACTTCTGAAAAGTGCAGAGACTGAGACATTTTTGTCTGATTTCCGACAGAGCTGGAGGTGTTTGACACCTGGAAGCACAGAAGRCTCATTTTGTGACTAAAAATAAGCATTAAGTCTTCGTGATACTTTTTTTAGTATTTGACAGATGCTTAGGACCTAACTTTACTTTCTTCTGGCATTTTATTTTAGTGAGAGATTAGACCAAGAACTGATCTTGACCTATGGTCAAATTAGGAATTTTCTGTGTGGAAGGTCCCCTTGCTCGTTCAAGTGCAAATGTGCTGTTTCTGTACGCCCTGTTTTAAAGTGTTGCAGAGTGTTGCTAAGGCTTCTTGCAAAAGCAGCCAAGTACTATCTTTGATTTGGCAGCGATTTGGTGATGGGTGAAATTATCTGTAGCATAGCACAGTTTATCATGAAGTTACAGGGCGTTTGGGAAGCCATCTGTATGCCAAAACTGCATAAAATCAGAGTCATCAGCACAGAGATGTTTAGACAGAAATTTGAAGTGGAGAATTCTCTGTTCAACAATCCCTGGCTCTCTGGTTGCACTTGCATCTCTGTCCAACAATAAGACATAGTTAAACATGCTCTAATATCACTGATGTAACTTCTCTACAACCTCTGGACAGAAGAACGTGAATAGAAAATGAATCTCAACCGTACAGCAGTACAAAAAACAGACGAGGAGAACATGCTAACTACTTTCTTCTATTCTGTTAACTACTTTCTTCTATTCTGTGTCCATCTCTTTCATAAGATGTGAAAAGATTTAACAGACAGTTGAGAAGTCAGTGGGACCATGAGTAGATTCAGTGTGCAGAGAAGATCATCTCCTTGCAGGCCCCTTGGGCCCTCTAAGGCAGGATTAATGGCGACTTGTCCTTGCACTAGCTGAATATCTTGCATTTAACCCACATCAGGCAGCATTGTGCAACTGCCTTTCTGCCAGCTCAGCCCAGGCATGACACAGTTCTTAGTCTACCTGTGGGAAGACGGATGATATCTCACCCAGCATCGGACCCACCTGGCTGTAACACCTTCCAGAGCCAGTTTAAACCAGCAGGGTGTGTGTGCACCTTGGTTCAATGCTTCTCACCATGCAGCTACACTCCCTTTTCTTTGTCTGGTAGGAAACACACTCTGGCTTTGTTGGCTTGTGGGCTCTRTGATGGAGTCCAGGTGGGATGGATGGGAACAGTAATATCAAGAATTACTGAGGGGATTAAACACAAACAAAGAATCAGATGTCTCGCAGTCTGCGGTCACTGCTCCTTTAAACTGTGCTGTTTCTCTTTGCAATTTATCTCCCTTCTTACCACCCTTCTGAAGCTGGTGTTATCCAGAGATTGAAAAGCCCCTGGATCACAGCCCTCAAGGGGGCAGTTTTGTTCTGTGCCCCTTTGAGCCTGTCCAGTAACTGCAGGTTTCAGTAAGTTGCTCAAGGCTGTCGTGTGTCAGGGTCAGATTCCTGAGGACAGCAACAGGAGAAGAACGGGATAGCTGGAAGAGCAAACAGCGAGTGCTTAGAAGGACTAGATCTTGCAGATGAAATGAGTGCCTCTTCCTGAAAGTTAATGCCTTGGTCTGATATTTTCAAATTGAAAAATACGGGTTGGAGGCAGCATCTAGCTGGCCACAGTGATGTCCTGCATGAAAATACTCTGAAGTCTGGGGAGGAAGAGACTGCGGCGGCAGGAGGCGCAGGCAGCCGCTGCTGGGGCAGTGAGTGCCAGGAGGAGTAGGTGTCACCTGCGTGTGACAGATGGCTACAAGAAAAAAGGCTGGCCTGAGGTGGCTGCATGAAACACGGGCAGGGACAGCATGGAGGTGGGTGGCTATGAGGAGAAGGAGATCAAGGGAAGGCCTGGGGAGGGAAGGTGGAGAAGAGGGATCAGGGGGAGAGCACGGGAGAGAAAGCAGCTAGAGGTGGGACAAGGTTCTTGCAGGGTAAGGAGCTGGTGGGATCAGCAGGAAGAGGGCAGAAGGGAAGGTGAAAAGTGGAGATCAGTACTGGATATACCTCACTGCAGCTCCTCCTAAACTATTTTTGTAAAAAGCCGATGCACTCCTTTCTGGAAGTGGCAGCTTTCCACGGAAACAGAGATGCTCGTAATAYGTAACTGTAGGTGTACTGGGAAGTAGACAGAAACACTGCAGCCTGCAGGGACTCGTGCCCATGCTGCACGCCATAATTTGCAGAGCAGGTCTCAGCCTGCTGATCGCTTCTGCCTTTCCCTGTGCTTGAGGAAATAACCTGTCCTGGAGCTGGTGATTCACACCCTAGGAGCACGCGAACAAATGACATTTCCACCGTTGCAAAGATCTATTGGAAACGTTACGTATATCTTGGAGATTTAAAGGTTTYGAGAGCAGAGGTAAAGGGACTCAGCACTATGAGAAATCTGCGCGATGTTCTCGGGATTGGGAAGGGCTGGGGGCCCTGAAAGGCTCCTGGTTTATGTTGGCAGAAACCAGGAGAATCCTCGCAAGGCTTCTTTGGATCCGATGGCATTAAGCTGACAGGAGCGCTGYCAGTAGCCACATTTCCTTGCAACAACCTGCTTGGCTTCTGTGGGCACCCAGCGGAGCTTATCCCCTCTT